ATAAATCTGAAGTGTCTATCATATTTTATTCATAACAATAACCAGAACACCACTTCGTCAAATGGTCACCCTTATGATAGAAATTTCGTAACATTCAAACTAACAAAAGTTTCACGTTTCTGTAGTTTGGTCGTGTTACTAAAATAAACCCATCACAGAAATTAGATTTAAAATTTTATACACAAGACGCGCATTTCGTCTACAAAAGACCAGTTAATGACGCTCGATTGAAAAAAGTAAAAAAAAAAGGCCAACAAAATAAAACAAAGTTGAAGAGCTCGAGCATACATTGAATCTCCATGCGTAAGTATTAGGTCATTTCCTTTGAAAGTTGGAGTCCGTAAAAGTTAAAGTACACCTTTGTCAATCCGTTCTTGAATTAACACTTCCAGGTTGTTCCTTGACACGTCGAGGTGTTGTGATTTAAGAGGCCACACTCGTTCACCTGCTATTCGTTAGACAAGTCATCTCGCATTAACACCTCTATGAAGTGTGGAATGTTTATGTCTTCCGCAGCTTTCTCGAGCCCTATGTTGAACAGAGACGTTGGACAGAGTCTTTATGCGAAAGATCTCATCTTGGACTTTGAATTAATGCATTTATTTGATACTGTCTATGATCCAGTGTATTAACTCCATCCAGCCAGATTTGTCGCTTGTTAATCTTCTCGGTAAAAATGTTATGGAGATGACTCCGGATGATGTCCATCGGCATGTGGATCTCCGTTAAGATTATTTGCGTCCAAATAAGACACTAAGTCGATTGTGTCTCGTTATAATCGCTCCAGTAAGGGTTATTGACATTGCCATATCGATGGGAAATGATGGCGATGTTCTTTTTTGTCGCTTTTTCGAACAAGAGCAGCATTTCTAGATATGAAAACAGTTCCAGTTTGACACCAGTGAATTTGAGAGCTGTGCGTATGATATACCCGGGTCCCGCTCGCATAATTACATGGATGAGAGCTTTTAACAATTTGAACATCGGTAAACTATTGTCGCCTTAATTTATATTATTCTAGACACACGTTTCTGAATTCATCAAAGATGTTCGTCAATAAAAGCAAGTTTAATATGAGGTAAGTGTTGTGATAGTCGCACAGAGTCTTAAAATCGAATGTTTCCTAAACACCATCTGTGCGTCAGCGTAGTCCTTATCGCTGATTTGTTCTCCGATAAGCTTTTGTAGAAGTCCTCTGTGTGTATCCTTTAACATCATCGGTCGTCAATGTAATCGTAGGAATACATTCCCTCTCCTACCAACATTTCGTAATGATCACTGCAATACGTCTTCACAGCTTTGGATTGATCCTGGAGAGAACGACTAGACTCTGCATGAGAATATATCATCTCCAGCTCCTCTTCCTTCTTCGAAAGGCTGATTCATTGGTGTTTGGTATGCAGTTAAGCTTACTTTCACCGAATCATAATTCCTCATCGAACATATGTGAGTCGTGCAAACTCAAGTTTCGTAACACAAAAGGAACAAATCTTAGCGGTTGATACTCTTGTTAAAGAACTTACTGTGTGTATTCCCCTTTCGAAATATTTAATGTATTTTAAAAAAATGGATCGGGCTAAAATATATATTTCTTTCCACGAAGAATTCAATGTCAACATAGATGTTGCGCACTTACAGTCTCTAAATCTTGTGTAAGTTCATCACACTGGAAGATCGATTTTTACCATCTTCTTTTGACTACAATGATGAAGATGTTCATCTCAAAGGTCGTTTTTTATTGAATGACTCAGACATCGGCGGCAAAAGAACAGTTCATGACTCATACCTGCGATCACAAGATTTTAGACAAGATCTTCATCTGACAGAAAAACCGTTTTCGATGTCGGTTATAAACATGAGGTCTACGTGTCTCCTACCTGGCCTCAGATCACAATCATTCTTCCCATTGGTTACAATGCATTTCTTTGTAAAAGTCAAAAATTGAATTAAAAAATTTGCACCGATTCAAACATGAAATAAATTTCACAGTCACTTAGCATGTTATCTTAGTAGTATAAATGCCAAATTTTATTACATTCTAACAATTATTAAAAATGTTTGGAATGTTTTTATATTAGTATATCTGTCTGTGGAACATGCTATTTGCAAAGTTTTAAGAATTCAGTCTAAAATATATTAAGAAAATATATGTTTGGTAATTTTTTTACCAAAATATGCCTTAATCCAGTAAATGTAACTTGTATTTAGTTGAAATAAGACAACTGCTAAATCAAATTGCCACTTTTCTGCCATTTTTTTTTTAAATTCATTTCCCTCTTGTGCATAAATCAGAATTGGTCAATATGATAAGGGCACAGACATAAAAAGCATAATTGTGGGTATATTAACACTGAAAAGTTGATTTATTTCCATCTCTCTATCCTTCTTATTGGTTATGTGTACTTCTAAACAACTAAAAGTAAATTTAGACTTGACACTTTAGAATTTTTAAGACATTTTGCTCTTCATCATGTTCATATTTTTATATGTCTTTGTATGTCATATTATGTTCCAGGGTCAACTCATTTTTGTAAAAACTTATTAAAAATGCATTAAATAAGGTACCCCCGTTGATTTAATGAAGCAATGTGGTGCGTTCTTACAATTTTTTTTCTTTAATTTTCATTAGAAATTATATAAACTGTAAATAAAGCTAATACCTGACTCATATGCCCAAATATGGTCAAAATGTCTTATATCAATAACTTTTGTGTAATTTCTGTTTCCTTTCTTGAAAGGTAAACTGACAAAGATCATTTTGTACCTGTAAGGTCTTTTATTCAAAATATTTGTGTGCCCCAAATCATCTCCTAGGCCTCAGACCACAATTATTCTTCCCATTGGTTACAATGCATTTCTTCGACCCAGTGGTTGAAAAAACTCATCATAGATAACCGTGTCCGAATGTCCTCCCACTACCCCTGCTCATGTAGTTTACCATGTTTCGTTTTACCCTCTATACCATGAAATCAATCTCTAACTCCAGTATATACATATATAGTCTCTCCAGTCGCATGATTCGTTTTGATCATCTCCACTATTAAAACCAACTGTACATTGTATATTCAATCCATTATTCTTCGGCAATGTATTCCATTTAAATTTCTAATACTGAATTTTGCTTAGACTAACATTCAAAAGCGTGTATGCGTCATTTTTATTCGAAGGTCAGATGGCTGTCGTGTCGAACACACCATTTGATACATCGCGTCTTTCCTTTATCTTCCAACTCGTTTTTAGTTTTTAGTTTTTAGTTTTAACATTTGCCTTGTAAAAAATTATTTTTCTTTTTTGGATTTTTTTTCAAACCAAAATTGAGAAGCTTTCAATTAAAAAAAATGTGAACCCTGTATCCTGCAATCAGGAGTCGCACAAGATTTTATTGTGAGTATCATCTTAGGGTAAAAAAAGTTGGGGTTAAAATGTAACAAAATATTGCGCTCTTGTAACCATACAGTTATCTGAATATAACGTATAGATTGAATTCCTGTTCTCGATATTTCCGGGGTTAATCAACGATGCATAAAAATCCAAACAACGCTTACAGTCAATAACGTCAATTTTGTCAAATAAAAAATAAGTAAGGAAATATTTGGGACATATGATTGCAAAACTATTAACCGGTATTATAAAAAATCTGTTGACTGACAAACAGTAAGTGGAATGAAATGTAACCACTATGTCATTCATTTTATGAAGAAAACACGACATGAGGTACAATAGTACGATACTATTTCATCTTATTCGTATATCTAATACTTTAATCAGTATCGTTTCACAAATCTAGTTTTTAGAAAAAATGAAAGGTTTAAAGGACAATTCCTTAGCCTGTCTGCTTTATAAATGATATCACTTTAATGCAATTGTGTGAGTTCTCGCTGACGCGATTATGCAATCAACAATCAATAATCAATAATCAATCTTTTTTTTCTACAATTTTATGAACAAACTTAAGGTAAATAAGTTAATTAACAATATTTTGAAAGAAATCGTTCCCCTTGCGGTGATTGATCGCCATCAGTACAGAAAAGCCATTTTATTCTGAAATAATAGTACATTTCAAATTGGATACAAAAAAAACACAGGTACAAAAAAATGTGTCAAAGAAGGCTCGAAATTACTGAAAGCAAAATAAAACATTTGGGGCTAAACCCGCTGATATGAAATTATTCGTGATTCTGATTAGTCAAATTTCTTCTCCTCTAAAGCTTTTCTAAATTTATAGGATTTATGATTGCTATTTAAATTAGATATATAATCATGGCCTGATTGTAAGTTAAGTATAATCGGTTTGTTGAAGTATGCATGCAAGGTAGCATCTTTGTACGTGTATGATCTTTGCATGTACATGCGTAATTGTAAGGCGTCAGTTTGATAGTGCAGAATGTATAAATGCACAGACAGCCATGAGTCATATTGGTAATAATGATTCCATGATGCATAGATAATTAAAACTGGAAAAGAATGTAACGACAGTGGCTCAACTCAACCCATCATTGTACCTGTATCATATCAGAAACAATATCCAACCACTGTTTGTTCTAATGTATACCTTTAACAAAAAAAATATTTTCCAAAAATTGACCAGTTTATCTGAGCATGTTTTTCTTCTTTTATAACCTGTACACAACAAAAAAGCAGATGTAGTATGATTGTCAACTAGACAACTATCCAACAATAACGCGGAAAACTACAGGTTACTATCAGGCATTCAACAATTCATTTAAGAAAATCCATACCGTAAAGTACAATATAAAAGGTTCCCGTGATAACAAAATGTGAAGCAATTCAAAAGAGAAAACCAAGCTACGTGTTTAATACTTTCATGTTCTTACTATGATTGAAAATCGATAATGGCAGACTACAACGAATGACAATCACTGGACTACAAATTCCAGGCTTGCACAGGCACATTAAGAATGTGGAGGGGTAAACAAATTAGTAAATCCCAATCTTCTTTGGAGGACATCTGTTATTCAATATTCTTATGAATTTAATAGAATAAAACAATGCACGGACGTTTCACAGAGACAGTTTCGCACCGTTCACCATGAAATTGGTCACCTACAATATTACATGCAGTATGCTAGACTGCCAACTATTTTCAGACGAGGCGCCAATCCAGGTATATGACGAACTTCCTTCGAATGTAGTCTTGTACTAAACAGAACTTGAATATTACTATTGAAATCAATCCTCGATTTAAATATCCATAAACTGAAATGATATATAATAATGAGATGTTTACTGAATGAAACACATTTTATCACTTTATTGCTATTACATTAAAGCTGACACAAAAAAAAAAACATTTACCACAATATTTTACACAGGTTCGACTTAGGGAGTTCGATTTCAAACCAACAGTTTCTGGGATTTATTTGCACTTTTATGAGTGGAAATACGGACACCATCTAAAAGTATAGGTCAACGAAATTTGGCTTAACTTAGTTTTCTAAATCCTATTACATTTCATCAAATCCTATGTGATACAGCTATAATCAGGAGAGATAACATTTAGTCCTATAGAAAAATAATATTCTATGGGATTAAAATTGTTCCTACATGAGAAATAAACATTCCTATGGGAGAAAATAAATTCCATTGGATTAATTTATGTCTTATGAGCAAAAATTAATCCGACAAGAGAAATATATATGATGGGCGGATTTTTTATTCCCTATCTTTGACTGCATATATTTAATTACTTTCTCAAACTGGTAGCCTCTTCGTGGTTTCTTGTAGAATTTTTGAATGGTCATGACCAGTCTTTAAGAGAGGAATCATGCTTTGAGTATTTATAGGGTCATTTTATTCACTACTTCGTTAAAATTGAAAATAAGATTTGGACCATTCATTCAGACAATCATCCACCCTATACACTTCAGAATCACAAAACATTAAAAGAAGTTTAAAGTTTAAGGAACACCCTTTGATTATACTACAAATTTAAGCATCTTTATATAATATTCCTCTCCGTACCATATGACAAGGAGCTTCTTCTGTCCTCTGTATCTTCCTCCACTATTTAGAGTACACCAACATTTTCCACGTAAAAATGGATAGGTTAATAAAACATTATGTACAGTAAAATCTCTGCAAAATAACTTCTATGTACATTAAAATCTTTATCTTAATTTAAACGTAAATAATAAAAGTTTAAATACTATTTACTGAGCACACCTTAGTGTAATTTTTTTTACATTCAATAAAATTTAGATCTAAAAAGGTAAGAAAAATAATGTGTTTTCAACACCTACCTGGCGGTGCTATTATATCTATCTATAAGCATTGCCAATGGATATGAAATTATACAATCATAAAAGCATGTATTTAAGCTTATATGTCCTAAGCGATCTAATTATGCATAGCAATTGATATATGTTTAAGGTACTGGATATTAAAGTAAAAGTAGATCTGTACAATAGTTTCCACTAACAGGTATAGCGCGGAACAACCACAAAAACCTGATATTTTAGTTGTTTTGTATTATATTTCAAAAGTATAAATCGGAAACGCTGTGGAATATTTCAGTTTCAAATCGTTATAAAAGACAGAACATGATTTAAACTTTTTGCTTCGGATCACGGTGCGAATCTATTAGTTTCATACGATATTCACGCCATCTTAAAATTATTACGTAACAAATACCGATTCTCATTATAATATGGCAAATTTTTATTGGCTAGAATGAGATATAGAATTGGGAACATGTCCCGGATAGAAAATGGACAAAATCACAGTATGAGTATTCAAGATCCGATCCGATGCCCGATCAATGAAACCTTTTGCCTTTACTAGTTTACCTTGCCTTATAATGTCGCATCTTATTCATGTTAATAAATAAAAGAATGGACTAGGATGAACAAGTTTTTGAGTGCTCATCTGACTATATATACTAAAAATACATATTATTGCAAATGATCTTCAAGAATTTTGTCAGAATACATGCTTCCATGTTATAAAACCAAAAGACATATAAAATAAACAGATACTTCACGACCACATGGTACCCCCGAATAGTGCATTAGAATTATTGTGAGAATGGACTGTAATACTTAAGAGGCATCTAATAACAAGTTAGCAAAATAGGCGTGTAGGAAAACATGCCCGGCATAATGAGGATTTCTATATGCAAATAAATAAGACAGGCTTAAAATACAACACTTATGAGTATATGCAAAAAGGAGATATATAACATCATTCCCATACTTAAACAACCACATCTTACTTAAAAGTATGATACAGCGTAGCACTTCAAAGTTTTTAAGAAAACTAAAACTTGTCTTTATGTTATTTTAAGTTACAAAATATGATAAAAAAATGTATCATATGCACAAATATATATCGAAGGGACTGGTTATTTACAACATGTAAAAGGGGGGGGGGGGGGGGGGGGGGGCTGGGAGGAAATTAAGGGGGTCTTGAAATTTTTTAGGAATGAAAAGGGGTATTTAATTTTCAATACTTCATATGGGGGGGCATCGAATTTTTTTTATAAGATTTGAGCAATTCTGTTCTTCAAATATGCAAAATAAATATTGCTAATTCGACGAGTACACTTAATCAGCAGAAGTGTCATACATTTGATTTAGATGTCATATCTATATCTCTTACATGTGTCATCATTTCTGGCTTCAAACTTCATTTCAATGTCTGTTTCATGTTAGTCATGACAGTCTTCTGCTTGATTATTGGACATGAAGAAAGACAATATCAAGGATCATATTGATGGTTTGATGTCTTAATTTTTGCATGTTTTCCCGAAGCTTTTCAGATTATACACCTTTCCATATTAAAGAACACTGGTAATAAGCTTAGCTGTTTCCTTACAATTGATTTTCAAATCGAAAGCGTATGATCGAGCATATGTTTCAATGGTGTAAGATGATATTTATATAGGTAGTTAAAAAATGCACCTTTAATATGTCTTTGTGAATAATTTTCCTTTACGACCTGGAGATGCAAACTCAGACTCACCCCAATGCTTCCCCTACAATGTAAAAAATGTAGCATGGCACTGCTCAGCTCAGTTTTAAGATATAAACTCTTTGTTTCAACATGTTCTTCCATGAAAGTATCCTTATCTGAAGGTAACTTACTAACTTCTTTAAGAAAGGAATGAAGGTGTGTTAAATGTCACTGAGACCATAACAGGCATAATGAGGTCGTCAGTTTTCTCTTTTGAATTGTTTCACATCTGTCATTTCGGGGCCTTTTATAACTGACCTATAGTAATACTTCTTGTCTCATTGCATGCAGTCATACCACATCCTCTTATTTTTATATATCCAATTATATGTTCCCTGAAGTCACAAACAACTTCATCTCTCAAAGCTTTAGATCTTGAAACTACTGATGCAATAATTTTTTGAAGGATAACAATATGAAAAGAAATTTTATTTATGTATTTTCTGCTAAAAGAAAATAAAGATATTGAGATATGTAAGAATGAAATTTTCATGTCTTTGGAAAGGGGTATTGAATTAATTTTCCTATTTCAAGGTGGGAACTTGAAAAAATTAAGAGAAATTCCAATGTTTCCTCCTGTTTTTTTAGATTGAAAGGGTACGTTGACTTTTAATGGGAGTTTTCTTTTCTCATATATTCAAAATTATCTGTATGGTGATATAACTCATTGACCACATATAGTTGAGACTTCGGGTCTTTTGGTTACAGGTCCTTGCTTTGTGACCTTGAAGTTTAGGTCAAGGTCAAAGTTCAATTTGACTCTCTAGATTTTGACCTTTGCTATTACATCTTATTAGTACATGATAAAATCATGTGGTCTTTTTCATTTGGTTGCAGACATATGACCTTGAAGAAGTTCAACCGGATGGGACCTTTTGTAAAGCGGAAGTAGCAATTTTTTCATTAGTTTAAGTAAAAGTTACTAGAACTTTATACTAGTATTTTAGGAATCATGGTGCATTAATGTTAATTTGAAACTTGGGGTGAAATTTTGTAAACCGAAAGTATCTACTTATCTCTCTTATTTTTTAGCAAAAGTATATAAAAACTATATATTTTTGGAATCAGCGTGAATTAAGCTATCATCTTACAGCAGAATTGACATTTTTAACCGGAAGTGAATATCTTCCTATCAAAATATGTACATTTGGGGTGGAAAGACCTTCCATTGTTCTCTGAACAATTAGTTTTGAATTCAAGCAATTTGATTGGACGAGAAGTTGTAAGTATGTGCTAAGGTTATTTAAACCCACTTACAATACCTTCTAATTAAGAATAGGCTTTAATGTTGAAAAGACATCAGCACAATAGTTTAAGTTATAGATACAATGGATAAGCGTTGATTCACGAAAAACAAACCATTCCCCCTCATGGTTTCTTTTTCAAGAATCAACGCTTATTCGTTGTATCTATAATACATAAAGCTTTATCATATAGGATTTGGTGAAATTTTGTAAAATGGATATTTGAACATCCTATAAACTCTTTACTGCGAATTTACCTGTACCGCCCAATTTAGATGAAACATACACACAATATTTTAATATTTTTGGTAAGATACTTTGGCAATGTTTTTTTTGAAGTACCTTTAGCAAAAATGTGAACAGGAGTTGCACCCATTTGAAGCGCAAAATTAACCCCAGAAATTTTTAGCCATAATTATTAGCATGCTAATGGCTGTAATTATTATGTTAAAATAAAATATGATATAAAAGAAAGCATGTTTTGGAGGGCTGTATTATAGTATTAATTAATTTGTGTTTTCTTAATGGCCCTGTTATATGTCCAAGATCTGTAATAATGGCACGGAAAGGCTGTAATGGCCCGAAGCAACGCCGAGGAACATAACAGCATCCGATGCCATTATAACTGCCCGAGGACATATAACATGGTCATTATGAAAACACCCATTGCTTAATACATGTATTAGCCAACTAAACAGAGGAAATGTTTCATTAACAAACTAATATCAAAACAGTGACTTTAACAGCCAACAGGGCATTACTACACGGCCATCATTGATAAACCAGTTGTAATATTTGATATCAAGTTAATAAGCACTTTTTATATCAATAGACACTTCATCAATATCTTACTTCGTTGGTTAATAACATGCTGTAATAAGGATGACTTTGTGTTTGCTTTTGCATATTG